GGCCCTGGGCAGACTGCCAGCACAGGCCCCTGTGAACTCAGCAAAGGAACCACACTGTCATGGACTCAAGAGTCTGGGCAAGACCTCGAGGGCACCGAGATCCCTTCCCCGAGGGCCCATCAGGCAGGGCAGGAACAGTCCCCACCACACGCTTCCCAGCTGCCGTCAACTCTCCCAGGAAAGCAACAGCACTGGCGTCTGCAACCAAACCGCTACACCGTTAAGAAGCAGCGGCAGGCTGGCCCAGGCCTGCTTACTCTCGGCGTTAAGGAAGCGGATGGCCAGCAACTCCTGCTTGGGGCACTCGTCGGCGAAGTCTGCGTGGGTATTCCAGACCCAGGCACGGTCACTGCCTGCGTTCGGCTTCAGCTCCATCATTGGCGTGACTGGAGAGAGAAGCCCCATGAGGATGGTGCACCTGTCAAGCTGGCCCACCCACCCTGACCCCTGAAGGCCCGAATTGGGGCAAAACAGGCCTGGTTTGGGGTTTGCCAACCAGGTTCAGACAAAGTCCTGTGGGGTCTGGATTTTACCCAAACCTCTGAAAACATCCTATGTTCACTTAAAACCAGGACCGCTCTGAATCTGGGAACAGGGTGGCCCATTCCCTGACCACGAGGACACCTCAGCGAAGGTTTCCAATCCCAACTCAGCCAAGGCCTCCAATGCCACCATGGTTGCTCACACCCAGCCCCACGGCCCTGCCCCTGTCTGAGCAGCCCCCAGACCCAGTGCAGACATAGGCCACAAGGCCTGGTGCGCCCAGCCCTTCCAGTGAAGGGCACCCACCACGTGGCTGTGTCCATGCTTGGCCACTCCATCTGGGACCTGGCCCACAGAAAGTGGGGAGCGGCAGAGGAGCAGAAGCCAGGAAGTGGAGTGATCACCCAGGAAGGCCATGGTCAGACCAGGGCAACCACTCTCAGCCTTGCACTGTCCAGGGACACCACGGGGAACGAGGCCACCAGAAGTGGACACTGAGGGCCTCGTGACCTGCTCGTATGTCACAGAAGGTTGAGCCACAGCCGGGAATAAGCACAACTGTCCATCTTCTCAGACCTCGCACAGACTCAAGGGGGACGAGCTCCCCAAGAAACAGGAGCACCCCAGAGCCACGCTCACCCCACGGCCCTGGCAGAAGCCTCCTGAGATACAGGACATGCCCAGCCCCAGGAATACATCACATTCTAAACCGAGAACGTCATCCCAGCCCACAGACACCCAGTGATCCTGCATTCCTACAGGGCACCAGGCCTGGGACCCACCTGCAGCTCACAGCAAACAACCCAGTGACTGGCCTGGCTTTGGGAAAAGCAGGGGGTCAGGGAAAACCCCCGGGGAAACACCTCAAATTGGGTTGGAAGACAAGGACCAGGCCAGAGCCAATGGCCTGGGCAGGGTGGGAGGACCATGGGGCAGGGACATGGAGTCTGGCCCATGAAGGCCAGGGGGACTGTGGCGCCAGGAGGGCCCTCCCTGCTCATCTGGCCACATCACCCTCCAGGGCTGCTCCCTCTGGTTCTTGCCAGGGTCACCTGTGTGCCCAGAGGAGGGGCCCTGCCCCACCGGACACCTTTGCTTCCAGACACACACTCGCGGCTCCAGAGCAGCCCAATAACCAAGGGACTGAAATGGGGGGAATCTTACTGTCACCCCTTCGCCAGCCAAGCTGCAGGTGGCTTTCCCTGGACGCCCCACACTGTGCCCGGGGCCACCTACTGTAGTGGTTGGCGCAGATCTTGAGGGTCTTGTCCCTGCGCATGAGGAGGCGGATGGTCCCCTTCTCCTTGTGCTTCAGCAGTTTGACGTCCCCGGTGCCCCGCTCCTTCCACTCCGGGAGGTCGTTCTCTGAAGCGAACCGGAACAGCTTGGCCCGCCTTTGAGGAAAGCCATTGAGCGAGGGGTTAGGCAAGCACGGAAGGGGACGAATAAGCCTGCGCCCACGGCATCACGAGACACCCTTGCCTTTCTTTTTACTCCCAGAACCACAAGTCAAGATGTCAACAAAAGAGTGAGGCGGCTCAACAAACTCCAGGTTTTTACTTCACAATAAAAAAAGAAAAAAAATTCCTAGAAGTTGCAACGTATTCCAACAGGAAGACCTGACCTCTCAGAGAGCCCACCACGTCCTGGGCAAGGCTGCAATCATGGGACGGGGGGCTCCCTGGCGTCCCCGGCGCCACAAGGGCAGCACGGAAGTAGGCAGGAGCCGAGGAGCCTTCCCTCTGCTGGGAAGACGGGACTGCAGGCCTCTGCTCAGGCCGCCAGGCTCTGGCCCAACAGCCTGCCTTCCTGTCCAGAGCAGCCCTGCCCTTTGCTTCCCCACAGGACCCCAGCTCAGCCGGTCCCTTTCCTGTGGAAGACTCTGCTCTCCGAACTCAACTCTGTCAAGGGAGATGCATCCTCAGGAAGAAGCCCCAGGCCCATCATGACGGCCCCACCCGCCTCAGGATGCCAGGAAGTGCAGCAACATTTCTATGCAGATCAGAGACCCAGAAAACCAGTGTCTTTATGGAGCCGCCCAGCACCCTCTGAGACTCAAGGGGTGCAGACAGCTTCTCCTTCCCCAGGCCCTTGGAAGTGGTGGGGAGGGGCTGGTCTCTCCAGCCTCCCTGCCTTAGAGGGAGGAGTCGCAGTGCTGGGATCCCCTCTGCTTCCCTCCCCTGACCCACAGCAAAGCACTCAAACCATAACCTGGCATCTTGGACAGAATTTGAATGGGTGGAGAGTCTGCTTCCCCCTGATTTCCACTAACTTGTAGCTACATTAGCGTCTCCTGCGATCCTGCGTGTCCGCGCGGTGCCGTCACTTTGTTGCACACATCTGGATGCACGGCTTCTGTGACCACTGCTTCAAAGTGACACGGCCACCGTAGCTTCTTGTTGAAAGCACCAAGAATCACGTATGATTTTTGAAGAGTAACTTTAATGACTATAGCACCGCCCACTCTCATTTGTAATTCCAGGCATTGTTTTGTATACTAAAAGTATTGAATTGGAAATTCATAAACTTCAAAATACCCCCACATTTAAGGAAAAAAGATAATAGCAAAGACCCAATGCTCAACCAGTGGCAGGGGTCTGAGAGAGTCTTAGAGGCAAGGGTGGCAAGGACAGGGGTCTTGGGGAGATGTCCCTTGTGGACAGAGCAGTGGTAACATGACACCTGGGAGTGCCCATGCCCTCCCCAGGACTGGCCTCAGGGCAGCAGGGACACCCAGGACCTAGGAATGAGTTGATTCTAACAACAGCCTTGATTTCCACATGGGAGTAGCCATCACAAAACTCTCCGTGTGGTTAAAGGTCAAGTCAAGATCCTGACACCCGTAAAAACCAGTTACTATTTTATACTAAAAATGCCTACTTCTGAAAAGACACCAACTTACTTACATTTTAAAAAGCTCCTCTTCATCTTCTTCCAGCGTTTTAATTTCTTGCTCAGGAAGAGAAACTATTGGTTCAAACTGGGGGTCATGGTTGGACTCGTCGGCATTCTCGGTGGAGGTGTCGTGGTCCTCGTGCGTGTCCTGTGGAGGAGGGTGGAGATGTGACCCTACTGGCCATGCCAGAGCTCACCAGTGGCCACAGCCATCATCCCCACTAGTGAAGGGCCTCACCACAAAGCAAGGGATTAAAAAAGCCTTTCAACCCAAAGCTTTTCTCTGGGATCTGCAGTGAGACACCGGACTCCGACACCCTCCCCCAGATGCAACAACCACACCTGCACAGACTGACTGGTCTCCCTAAACCCTGAAACTCCCAGTGCCGGGGAGAAACTGCCCCAGGCTCCTCATCTGCAAGATGCAGATGCTGGTACTGCCACGCACAGACTAAGGACACGATGATGGAGAAAAGAGGGCCTAGAAAGAAACACTACCGTTAAAACAAAGCAACCCTTTGAGTTTTTACTGGTTGAGAAAAATCTGTGTTCTTGCTTAAGAGGAAAAAAAGTTGTGATGGATCTGCTAGCGTTTATACAGGACTCACATTTCTGCCGGCAGTTATACCTAGGTTGGGAAAATTACGTTTAAAATTCAAAAGAATTCACATAAGAGCTACAGAATTCTAATCCAGTACAAAGAACTAACTGTAGAGCACAAAGGATCATGTTTTAGATTGTCTCACGGAGCACGTGGCTTGGCAATCCATAACTCGGGAGGATAAGACACCCAGACTTAGCTCCCGGGCTCTGCCCAGAAACGCAGGCCTTCGCCGACTCCTCGGCCGGATCGCACCGGGCCGCACGGCCACCCCCGGGCCCCCGCCGCCACAGGCCACCCGCCGGGCCGCGCGGGAGCGGAGGCCGGTGGCGGCTCGGGGACCAGCACCGGATGAATGGGGCTTTGCGCGGGCCGCGGGCGGGCGGGGGCCGTCTCGGTGCGGGGCCCTCGGGGATCGAGCGGGAGGCCTGCGCCTGCCCGCGGCCCGGCGGCCAGGAGTGAGAGCGAGGCCCGGCCGCCCCAAGGTCACGCGGCCCCGCGCCTGAGCCCGCTGGCCGGCGGGGGTTGGCGGCGGCACGGGCCTCCCACGTGGCCGCCGGCAGCGGCCCCGGCCCGCCCGGCCCCCGGCCCAGCCCGCCCAGCCCGGCCCACCTTGGCGGCCGCCATGGGCGCGGCGGCGGCGGCGGCTCGGCTGGCTCGGTCGTCGCGGGCTCCGCGGCCTCTCGGCGACTGGTCGCAGCTCCTTCCTCCGCGTCTGGCGCCGGCACCTCCCGCCCGCCCTCTCTTCCCTCCGCCCCGCGACCCGAACCCCGACCCCTGACCCCGGCGGCGGGAAACGCGCCACGATTCAAAACCAGCGCAGCTTTATTGGCTCAGGCGGCGGACACTCTCATTGTCCAGCCCGCCCCGCGCTTCCCGCCAAAACGCCCGCAGCGCATGCCCGGCCCGCCCGGAGGCCGGGGAGCGCGCACTCCCGGCGGCCCTCGCGCGCACTTCCGTCCGCGGCCGCGCGCGCCCCTAGAGCTCGCGGACAGTGCTGGGGGTCCTAGCGGCGCGTGGCGATGACGTCGCCGGAAGCGGGGACGATAGAGACGCGCCGCCTCAGCTGCGCGCGCCGGCTGACGAGAGAGCGGCAGGCGAGGAGAGCGGCGGGCGCGGGACCCTGCCTGGCTGGCTACGCAGCCCGTCCCCGGGACCCGGACCTGAGCGCAGAGGGTACGAGTCCCGCCCCTGCCCGGGCCGGAGCAGGGCCGGCCTCGCCGAGTCGCAGCCGCTCTCCGCTCGCCGCCCGTGTGCCAGGCCCCGGGCGAGGCGGCGGACGGAGCGGACGATGGGTGACGAGCTCGACGGCGAAGTACGGTGAAGGGAGACCCTGGCGGAGCCGGGGGCGGGTGGTGACATGGGACGGGGAGGGAGAGACTCGGAGCGCGCGGGCCCCAGCCAGCCCGCCTGTCTGCTGTCTCCACGCAGGGCCGGGCGTGCGTGGGGGGCCCCGTCCAGGACGGCCCCAGCGCGCCGGGCAGCCCCGCGGCCCCGGGCCCCCATCAGGGGGAGGAGCAGGCCACGGGGGCCGGGGCCGCGGGACCGGGTGCTCAGCCGGGGCCCTACGGCTACATCCGGGCTGGCCTGTTCACCTCGGAGATCTTCAAGCTGGAGCTTCAGAACGTGCCGCGCCACGCCAGCTTTAGTGACGTCCGGCGCTTCCTGGGCCGCTTCGGGCTGCAGCCCCACAAGACGAAGCTGTTCGGGCAGCCTCCCTGCGCCTTCGTGACCTTTCGCAGCGCCGCCGAGCGCGACAAAGCCCTGTGTGTGCTGCACGGCGCCCTGTGGAAGGGCCGGCCGCTCAGCGTGCGCCTCGCCAGGCCCAAGGCTGACCCCTTGGCCCGGAAGAGGCAGCGGGAGGACCAAGGGGAGCCGCCTACCACCCCCGCCACGTGCATTGCTGATGTGGTGACCCCTCTTTGGACGATGCCCTACGCGGAGCAGCTTGAACGGAAGCGGTTGGAGTGTGAGCAGGTGCTGCAGAAGCTTGCCAAGTGAGTGTGGGTGCAGGCACTCCTGGGCAGAGCGCCCATCGGCGGCTCCCTGTGCGCTCAGCCTGCTCAGATACCCCTTTGGGGAGCCAACCAGTAAAAACTCTGTGTTACCGGTCGGGACAGTGAGGTCCCAAAAAGGGGCCCAGGTGCTTGGGCAATTGGAGCTTGACTTCTGCCCCTCCTTTGCCCCGCAGGGAAATCGGGAGCACCAACCGCGCCCTGCTCCCTTGGCTGCTTTTACAGAGGCACAAACACAACAAGGCCTGCTGCCCACTGGAGGGGGTCCGGCCATCACCTCAGCAGGTCAGGGCCTCTGCTCTCACAGAAGCTCCTCTTTCCTGGCTCTTCCATCTCTCTTTCTGCTGCGCTTCTGCTTATGGTTCTCATCAAGTGCTTGTTAGTTGTCAGCCTTTTGCCCTGGGCTGCCAGGGCCTGCGGGGGAACCAGGGCCTTGGTCATTGCTGTCTTTTGCTGTGCACCCTCCGTGCACGAGTGCTGGACCGTTGGGGTAAGGGTGGGCATCTCTGTTTCCTTCTCTCCTTGCAGACCGAGTATCGGAACAAATGTGAGTTTCTTGTTGGTGTTGGGGTGGATGGGGAAGACAATACAGTCGGCTGCCGGCTTGGCAAGTACAAGGGTGGGACGTGTGCTGTGGCAGCCCCCTTCGACACCGTGCATATCCCTGGGGCCACCAAGCAGGTGGTGAAGGCTTTCCAGGAGTTTATCCGGTGAGGACACGTGGCTGGGCTGGTGGCTTCGGGACATCCCGAGGCAGTCTGGGAGCAGAAGACTTGGGTCCTATCTGGGGGGTCTGGTGGGTGTGGCTGGAGGAGAGAGCAGGGATGCTGCTCACCCTATCTTGGTCGGCAGATGTCAGGGACTCAGGGCCATCTGTGGCTCCCACAGGTCCACTCCCTACTCGGCGTATGACCCGGAGACATACTCGGGTCACTGGAAGCAGCTGACCGTGCGCATCAGCCGCCGTGGCCAAGCCATGGCCATTGCCTACTTCCACCCGCAGGTCTCAAGCGGGTGGCTTGCTGGGGGAGGGGTGTCTGGGCCAGAGCAGACTTCGACACAGTCTCATGGGCTTTTTCTACTGCCTGCTCCAGAATCTGAGCCCTGAGGAGCTGGAGGGGCTGAAGGCTTCTTTGGCACAGCACTTCATGGAGGGGTCAGGCAAGACCAGCGGGGTGACTTGCCTCTACTTCGTGGAGGAGGGACAGCGGTAGGTAGTCCAGGTGGGGCTGGGCGGGTTTCTCCGAGGACTGGTGACACCAATAGACCCACATTCCCGCCCACAGAAAGACCCCCAGCCAAGAGGGCCTGCCTCTGGAGCACGTGGCCGGGGACGAGTGCATCCGCGAGGACCTGCTGGGGCTGACCTTCCGGATTTCCCCTCACGCCTTCTTCCAGGTGACCAGATCCCTGGGCTCCGGGCTGGTGCAGCAGAGAGGGGAGAGCATCCAGGCAGGGAGCTGCCAGGGCTGTGAGGTCGGCCACCTGGAAGAAGGGCTACTAACCGTGGCCACTCGCTAGACCCTGGTGACCACCCTGTGGGAGGGTGGCTTGTGGGCACACCAGGCTTTGGCACTGGTGGGGTCTGGTATCAGCTGCTGCAGGGGTCCCATGGGTCCAGCTTTCGAGGAGGTGGGAGGGGGGTAGCATTGAGTTGCTTTCTTGGGCCGGGAGACAGGGTGTGGACGGGGCCTGGGGCCCTCAGGCAGTTAGAGGTGGAGAAGGGAGTCGGGGGGGGGGGGCAACCAAGAGCACAAGCGCCTGGGGATGCAGACACTGGGGGGCTGGTGGGCAGCGGATAGGCTGCTCTGATGTGTAACCCACGCCCAGGTGAACACCCCCGCAGCTGAGGTGCTCTACACGCTCATCCAGGACTGGGCCCAGCTGGACGCAGGGAGCACAGTGCTGGACGTGTGCTGCGGCACCGGCACCATCGGCCTGGCTCTGGCCCGGGTGAGCCCTCCTACCCCGGTCAAGAGCATGCTCTCCCCCACCCCACCCTTGTGTCATCACCCGTCCTGTCTGTCATGACCCCCCTAAGATAACCTCAGACTGTTCCAGGTCCTCTTCCGCTGCCCCCCAGAAGATCCAGGGGTGGGGAGGGGTGCCATCAGTCTGCCCTGTTTTTGCTCCAGAAGGTAAAGAGAGTCGTGGGGATCGAGCTGTGCCAGGAGGCTGTGGAGGACGCCCGGGTGAATGCCCTGGACAACGGTGAGAGCCAGCGGGCCTCGCAGTGGGTGGCAGGCCCTGTGTGTCCCTCCACAGGGCACCTGGGACCCACCCAGTGGCTCCTAGGGCTCACGGGGTGGGGGCAGAAAGGGCCCCTACTGTGCGGACCTATTGTGCGCCCACGATGCCTGGGGCTGCCCCGCAGGGAAGGGTTTTCTTGAGGTGTCTTCTGGGGGCTTCTGGACATGGCCGGGCAGATCTCTGGGGGGTGTCCCGGGCCTCATGGCAGGGCTGCTGCTCTATCACCTCCAGAGTTGAGCAACGTTGAGTTCCATTGCGGGAGGGCCGAGGACCTGGTGCCTGCACTGGTGAGCAGACTGGCATCCCAGCAGCTCATGGCCATCCTGGACCCACCCCGCGCCGGTCTACGTGAGTGGTGTCCACCTGAGGGGTGGTGTGGGGAGGCAGAGGGTGGCCCACTAGGCTGCCTGGTCTCGGGCCCCTGTCCGCTCCTTGAGGGGGAGCCACTGGGGACTCTCCCTTGAGGGGTCTGTGCCTCCCCAGATTCCAAAGTGATCCTGGCTGTCCGCAGAGCTGAGAACCTCAAGCGACTCCTATATGTCTCCTGCAACCCCCGAGCAGCCATGGGCAACTTTGTGGAGTGAGTGTGGGGCATGGGTGGATGGGGCCTCACCCCAGGAGACCCTGCTGTACCCACGCAGTTGACCATGGCACTCCCTCCCATACAGCCTCTGCAGGGCCCCGTCGAACCGGGTGAAGGGCAGTCCGTTCCGGCCAGTTAAGGCTGTGGCCGTGGACCTGTTCCCGCAGACCCCACACTGTGAGATGCTCATCCTGTTTGAGAGAGTGGAGCACCCCAATGGCATGGGGGCCCTAGAGCCCCAGGATCCTCCTGTCCAGCCCCCACCAGGGCCCCCAGGTGACACCCCACCAGAAACCAGGGCCTCCCCTGCTTCTTAGTTCTCTGGGGCAGCAGAAACCAGCCTTTCCAGAACAGCACCCAGACTGCATCATGGGCAGAATCCTGGGGCTCCCCAAGTCCTTGCCCTGCCCGGCCTGGCATACTCAGGCAGTAGCCACAGAGGGTACAAAACCCCTGTCCCCGTGGGCTCCTGTGGCCTGCTCTCCCCTCACCCCCAAAATGGGCCGCAAGGGCTGGAATAAACAAGTGCTGAACTACCAATGTTTGTGATAAGAACTCAGAGCCTGGCACACAGGGACTCTCCTCTACTCTCACCACAGGTGCAACGGGGCAGGGCCAGGAGCGCTCATAAGAACTGGCCCAGTTGGAACAGTTCTCCCAGCTCTTCGTGTGGCCAAAAGTCCCAGTGTCCCAGCAGAGAGCCTGCTGTCTGACAAGAGACACAGGCCTTGTGGCCAAGGGCCAACTGTACACATGGCGTGGGGAGCACAGAACGAGATGCTGCCCTACTGCCCTTCCCCACCCTCATTGCAGTCCCATCCCCAAAGGGACATACCTCCCAGTGACCACAAGAGCTAGGGGTGGGGTTGGGACACCGCTCAGCTGCTCTGGCCTTCAGGGCAGCTCTAGCCAATTAAGGACCACCCCATGGCCAGAAGAAAGACAGACCAGCCATTTCCTTTTGGACATTTTGCTTTATGCTTTCAGACAATCAAGGCTCACCCCTATAGCCATGGCCCAGCTGCCACCTGGGAGGTACACAAAGGGTGGTGGCCACCCAAAAGTGGCCTCAGCATAGGCTCCCCCTGCCCTCTGCCCCCTCAGTACGGCTGTGTTCACAGGATACTTGCACCCATACATGGGACAGAGGAAGGACTCGGGGAGGCCTCAGTGAGGCTCACCTGCCTCCAGTGTGCACAAAGCTTTGGTTCGAGGTGGTGCATCTGACTGTTTTAAGGGCAAACAGTTATAGTCAAATGGTTATTCACAACTGCAGACGGGGCAGGACAGAAGCAAGTGTGTAATTATAGCAACTCGATTTGCGGACTCTCTTTTACAAAGGTCGGCACAGGCGCCAGCCTCAGTCACGGTGGGTGGCAGGGCATAGAGAATACTGTCTCCTGTAAAAATACCACCCACAGGGGAGGTGTCAAGCACTGTGCCATGAGCACACGGTGCCCTGAACAGATGCCAGGGGCGGGGAGCCAACGGCTCACAACCAACTTGGACTGCTGGGACTCAGTGGGAACAAATGTACCCCACACCTGTCCATAGGGGCCACCTAGTCACCTGGCTGCACCAGACGGCTGCTCTCAAAACCCAGTGCCGCCCCAGCATGCTCGCACCAGCTCTGGACAGGAGCACCAGCATGTGAACACACTGCACTGAGGGTCCTCGTTTCCTCTCAAATCCACGAGCTAAAATGCATTAACTGTTCACATCTGCTACGTGATTCCAAATCTATCTTCTACTCTCACTGTAAAAGTTTCTTTCCAAACGCTAAAATATCATAAAAGCTTTAAAAATTGATGGGTGGACAGACTTGACTGTGCAAAAATTTAGTAAAAAATTGCCAGAGGCCAGCGAAGGTGAGGGGCCTCAGTGTCTAAGAAGGCATGTTTTGGGGGCATTAAGACTTACTCAGAAGAATGGACTGCACCCCCCAGCCCAGGCAGGGGCAGCAAGCTGGGCAGGGACAGGTGCCTTCATCCACGTCACGGGCAATGCATTTCAAGGCAAAGAATGATCACCTTGGTGGTTTGCCTACAGCCTCTGAAAAATAGTTCTGATACTAAGTTGTGTTTATTTTAAACCAAAGAGGTCTGAAATACTCCTTCCTAACTATAACTTTTTCGGAGAAAAAAGGAAAACCCAGGAGGCGGGGAAGGGGATGGGGTGCCAGCGTGCATCTTCTGGCCAGGTCCCTACGGTGCCCGTGGGAGCACCAGGCGCAGGGCTTTCTCATTTCATGTCATCCAACTATCATTTCTTGTCAGCGCCTGTTACATACTAAAATTCATGAAAACCTTCATAACACCAGTCTGCAGCATGTCCACACAAGCAGAGGTCCATGGCGACCTCCCACCTTTCTGTGTCCACCTGTGTGGCAGGCTGAGTCGATGCTTTAACATGGCCACCCAGACCTGTGGGTGGCCCCCAAGGAAGAGCTGCGTGGACCTGGCTGTCAGACACGCAGTGGCAGGGGACCGTGGACTGGAGACCCGGGGCTGCAGAGTGAGGGCAGGTCTCCCCCGCAGCAGAGCTGGCAGCCCCTGAGCCCGGACCACCAGCCATCACACGTCCACAGTGCACAGGGGCTCGCCGCCAGGCTGCGCAGATGCCACAATGGACATCTTGGGCTTCTTCCGCGTCTCCTCCTGGAAGAACAGCCAAGGTCAGGGATGTAGGCGACATGGGAACCTGCAGCCCAACCTCGGCGAAAGGCCGGTGGCGGGGCTGCAGAATGTGCGCGATCGCAAAGCACCACGTGCTGGCACTTCTGTGGGCATCAAGACGCATGCCCGGGAGTGGAGGGTCAAGGAGGTCACAGCCACCAGGGGTTTGAAGCTGCCCCGACAAGCCCTACAGGGACCCCACATCAGTGCATAGGAGGCCAGGGCCACCAGCTCTCCAGCACTGCCACAGCCTGAGAGCATGCGGACAGGCCTCACCCTCTCCTCCGCCAGCCTCCGCATCTCCTCCTGCAGTTTGCTCAGGATGTGCAGGTTGGGCTTGTTCTTCCGGGCAAACTGCTGCAGCTCGATCACACTCTTGTCCGACGTCTCCTGGGGAGCAGAGCCCGCTCGCAGGACCGTCTGGGGTCACCCCTCCCTTGACCCGCCTGGATGGCTGCCTGCCAGCTGTTCCCCACTTCTGCCACTGCCTCCTGCGCAGGGTGCTCCCCCGGCCCCCTTGGCCTCTGACATAGCCACTGAGCAGGCACTCGACATGCCCAGAGCCCTCAGGCAGGAGCAACCAGGACACAGCCTCAGCCGGGGGGACAGCACACTGCAGGACAGAACTTGCCCCGGCACTGCGGCCCCTGGGAGCCTGTGGGGCCCAGACGCTGAGCTCCCTGCAGGCCCGTCCAGGGTGAAGAAGCCATATCTGAAGATGCCTGCTGGCCGTGGGTGCCACACTCCCCTGCCTCTGGATGGACCCCTTGCCCGCCAGCTCCAGGGGGCTCCCACCACGGGCCCAAGCAGGCTTTCTCCCCTCACTCACAGCCCAGCACAATGCACAGAAGTAGAGCACAGACCCGAACGCAGAGGCTCAGCAACACAGGGCCAAGCACCTCGGGGCCCAGTGTCCCCTCCCCTCACCCACCCTGTCAGGCCGAGAGCAAGGAGCTCTTCACTGACAGCCTGGGGGTCACCATCCACAGTCCCCACCCTCCACACCCACCACTCACAGGGGTGCTGGTGACCCAGACCGTTTCTGTAAACATCAGGGAAAAAGTCAACATAAACCTCGCTTCCCTGTACTTCTCTCCACCCCAAACACAAAAACCTAAGGGTATTGGCTAAAATCTTGAGATCTTGGCCCAAAGAGCAGAAACAAAACAGATGACACACATGGGCTGTTGAAAGTTGGTGGCCAGGGAGAGCTGTCTGTGTGTGGTCTGCTCGCTCTCCCTCTAGCCCTGGCCCGCACCCCATCCCCTCCCCATGCAGCCAGAGCCCAACTCTGCCCCCGGCCCCCTGTGCCAGAAGGGGACCCCATTACCTGTTTGACCATCTTGCTGCTTTCACGGCCATACATGCGCAGCAAGGACCCCCAGTTCTTGACGTGTGGGTGCAGCAGCTGAAGGATCTTCTGAGAAGCTAACTGTTTCCCAACTCGCTTATTCTTGCCTGAGAGGAAATGTAGAGAGAGGGAGTCACAGATACCAGCCATCCACAAGGCCACCTCGTCCAGACAGGGGTGCTCCCGACGGGAGGGGGCAGAAGGCGCAGCCGCTGCACTGGGCACAGCACCTCAGCCCGGCCCATCCTGCAGAACAGCCCATCAGAAGCTCGGGGAGGCCAGGACACACCCAAGGCCATAGCTTATGAGGCCTCCCGGCCCCCAGCCCACATCTGCTGACACAGAGGACGCACCTGCAGGGCAGACACAGGGGTGGGGGAGCATCCAGAGGGCATCCTGTGCTGGGGACGTTTCTAGATGGAGAGAAGGTGGGGCCAGGGTGCAGAACAGGCCTGGAGAGCAGCAAGGGCCTCTGGCTCAGATGGGGGATCTATCCTATGCCCTGCCCACCTGCTCAGGGCTGGCCTCAGCAAGGAATGGTGTCTGCAGGGCACAGGGCACACCCAGGGCCTGCTTGGTCATGACCTTCTCACTTACCCAGTGCTGGTCTGTGTTTACAGTTTACACAAAGTTTCTTTGCAAGTAAGGTTATAACCAAACACCAGATTAGGTGAAGAGCACAGTTGGTGCCCAGCAACAGCAGAGGGCCCTGCGGGGGGCTCTGCTGCTGTCTTAGGAGGCTCCTGCTCCCTTTACAGGGACCAAGGGCTGGACAGGGGCAGTGGTGGCAGCCGCTGGGGAGCAACACAGCCCAGCCAAAATGACCAGCCCGGGGACTGGACACCCACAGCTGCACTCAGGTCAGCTGTGACTCAGATGTGGACATAGGATGCTGTGGGCACAACCGTGGGCAGTCAGCATACAACTGAGGCTCGGCTGATGCCAGGGCAGTGGTCCTCGGGATCACTGAAAGCCTGTGTGTGGGTGTATTGGGGGAGGGGTGTGTGTCTTACACCAGCCGCGCACTGTGTGCTTGCCACACGCCATGACATATTCACTCTTCTGGTTTTTACCAGGAACCACTTCAAACTTGATGGAGGTGTCCCCCATCCCATGGTTTCTGTAGGAGAAAACAGACAGTAGGTGACATCAACTGACGGGGAGGAAATGGCTGCTTCCAGAAAGCCCTCCAAGGGCCCATCAAGACAGAACCAACCCTTCTCCCCAAACCGCTGCTCCAAGGAGGGACTCTCCCACCACACGCCATCCAGCCCCTTGGGTGGAAGGGTGCTGGGCACCCAAGAGAGGCCCCCATGCCCGATGGCCAGGGAAGCGCCCCCCCCCACTTACCTTTTAAGGCACTCATGGAGGATCTGGTAGGGAGATAGCAGTCCAGCCTTGCTGGTCAGCTCGTAGACTCGCGAGTCCTCGATACTGATGTGGTTAAAATACTACAAAATGAAGCAGCCGGTCATAGTGCTGGCCACTCCCGTGGCCCCGTGAAGCGGCTCCCGTGCTGCCGCCTCCCCTGGGGCCTCCTGCCCCCACCACTACCTCTCGGAGACATTGCATCCCACATCCCACACCTCCCCACCCAGATGCCCGAGACACAAACGAGGAATGGCAAGGGCCGGGCTGCCTGCCGCTGGCCTGGGGAGCCCATCCTGAATCAGAGGCTGATCAGACGACCGGTCAGAAGTCTAAAGACACACAACCTTCGGAAAAAAGCTTGAAAACCATCATAAGTGAGGTTATAGAAGAGAGAAAGTGACCAGACACGGCAGAACAGAAACGTGACCAAGGTTCTTAAGAGGCGACGCCCAACTGGTTCAGGGAAGAAAAAGGAAGCTGGTGACAGGGGCATTGCCAGCCCAGAGGCCGCTCTGACCCCATGGCCCCCGGCTCCCACTCAAGAGTGTGGGCCCCCTCCCTGGTTGGCCATAACGGAGAACCACATGCTCCTTTGAGGCCTCTCAGAGAGGTCCCTTCCCAGACTGTCCAGCTTCTAGGGCCCCTCGGCTTGTAGCAGCATCAACCACAGCCCTGCCCTCTTCATATAAAAGCCTTGGAACCTGCTGCTCTGGCAGAGAGGGGGCTTCCTCCCCACCCAGCATCAGGAGGAGGCCCTGGTTCCAGCAAGCAGGAAATCATCCCCCTCTAAGCACAACCCCGCCCCCCCAGCACCTCAATGGGTCCGCCAGCCAGAGGCACCCCGAGCCCCTTAGTCAGGGTGTCTGCAGAGGCATCGCTGTGTGAGCCAGGCTGCTCAGACCCCTGGCCACGAGGGATGAACCCAACCCCCAGCACCACCCCTCCCCGGGCACTGGGGGAGGCAGAGGACAAGGCTGGAAGTCCAACCTCCGACTACATGATGGTTCCCCTGGCAACCAACCCCCATCCTCGGGGCTTCCAAAATTCACCTCCTGAACATGAACTCAGGCGTAGTTGAAGGGGTTAGAATAGAACGTTCCCTTCACTTTTATCAACTGGAACTATTTCAGGAACTGGAGACAAAAACCAAACGTTAATTTATTTACTACGTTAGAAGGTCCCACCAGGAACCAAGGACAAAGACCAAACGTGTATTTTATATCAATATCACAAACACATACACACCTAACAGCCCCAAAATACATGAAACAAAACCTGACAAGTGAAGGGAGCAATAAACAATTCAACAGTAACAGCTGGGGACTCAACACCAGTCCAGACAGAAGACCCACCAAGAACGAGAACAGCAAACCCCACACCAGCTCTACCCACAGACGCCTGTTCACTCCACTCAGAAACACACAATGCACATCCTCTCAGGCGGTCACAACACAAGCCTCAATAAACTTAGAAGGACTGACTGAAATCACAAAAACTATGTTTTTGAACCACAATGGAATTAAGTTAGAAATCAATAACCAAAGGAAATTTGGGAGATTCACAAATATATGAAAAGTAAATGCTCCTAAAATAACCGCTAGTTTAAAGAAAAAAATTACAAGAGAAATCAGGAAAATACCTTGAGACAAATGACAAAAGAAACACAACATATATTAAAGCAAAATTATGGGATGCAAAATAGTACACAGAAGAAAATTTATAGCTGTAAACTCCATATTTAAAAAGAAGACCCCAAATCAATACCTTAATCTTAAGACACTAGAAAAAGAAGAACAAACTAAACCCGAGGCTGGCAGAAAAAAAGAATAATAAAGGCAAGAGCAGAAATAAATAGAGAATAAAAAACCAATAGGAAAAAAAATCAACAAAACCAGAAGTTGGATATTTGAAAAGACGAACAACATCGACAAACCTTTAGTCAGACCGACCAAGAGAAAGGAAAGACTCAAACTGCTAAAAATCAGGAATAAGGGACTTCCCTGGTGGCGCAGTGGTTAAGAATCCACCTGCTAATGCAGGAGACACGGGTTCGAGCCCTGGTCCGGGGAGATCCCACATGCCGCGGAGCAACTAAGCCCATGTGCCACAATTACTGAGCCTGTGATCTAGAGCCCATGAGCCACAACTACTGAGCCCACGTGCCACAACTACTGAAGCCCACGTGCCTAGAGCCCATGCTCTGCAACGAGAAGCCACCACAATGAGAAACTTGTGCACCCCAATGAAGAGCAGCCCCTGCTGGCTGCAACTAGAGAAAGCCTGCGTGCAGCAATGAAGACACAATGCAGCCAAAAATAAAAATAAATGAAATAAATTTATTTTAAAAAAGTTTAAACAAAAGGATCATAACGGAATACTATGAATGTGTATTTGCCAATAAATTAGATAACCTAGATCAAGTGGGAAAACTCCTAGAGAGACACAAAATCCCAAAAGTGGCTCAAGAAGGAGTAGAAAATCTGAAGATGTATAACAAGCAAAAAGATTGAATCAGTAAATAAATAACTTCAAAACCAAGCAAAGTCTAGGCTTGGACTGTTTCACTGGTGAATTCTACCAAGTGTTTAAAAAATTAATACCGGGACTTCCCAGGTGGTCCAGTGGTTAAGTATCTTTCTTCCAATGCAGGGGACGTGTGTTTGATCCCTAGTCAGGGAACTAAGATCCCACATGCCGCGGAGCAACTAAGACTGTGTGCTGAAACCTCAGAGCCTGCACGCCACAACTAGAGAAGCCTGTGTGCTGCAACGAAGACCCAGTGCAGCCAATAAATAAATAAATAAATGAAGGAATAAATATTGTGCTTGCATGGTATATCTTTTTATTTTTGGCTGTGTTGGGTCTTCGTTGCTGCGTGCGGGCTTTCTCTAGTTGTGGCAAGCGGGGGCTACTCTTCATTGCAGTGTGCGGGCTTCTCATTGAGGTGGCTTCTCTTGTGGTGGAGCATGGGCTCTAGGCTCACAGGCTTCAGTAGTTGTGGCACACAGGCTCAGTAGTTGTGGCGCAGGGCTTAGTTGCTCCACAGTATGTGGGATCTTCCTGGACCAGGGCTCGAACCCATGTCCCCTGCATTGGCAGGCGGATTCTTAACCACTGTACCACCAAGGAAGCGTGTGGTTTATCTTTAAAAAAAAAAATTAAGGGCTTCCCTGGTGGCGCAGTGGTTGGGAGTCCGCCTGCCGATGCAGGGGACACGGGTTCGTGCCCCGGTCCGGGAGGGTCCCGCATGCCGTGGGGCGGCTGGGCCCATAAGCCGTGGCCGCTGGGCCTGTGCGTCTGGAGCTTGTGCTCCGCAATGGGAGAGGCCACAACAGTGAGAGGCCCGCGTACCGTAAAGAAAAAAAAAAATTAATACAAATCTTTTGCAAATCCTTTGCAATGAAAGAGGAAGCAACACTTTCCAACTTATTCTATGAGGCAAGTATTACCCTGATACCAACACCAAAGACATCACGAGAAAAGAAAATACAGAACAGTACCCCTTATAAGTACAGCTGCAAAAATCTTTAACAAATACCAGTGAGCCAAACCTATCAACGCATAAAAATGATTATACACCACGACTGAGTGGGATTTATCCCAGGAATGCAAGGTGTGTTTACCATTCAAAAGTCAATGAAACACCCCCCCACATCAGTAAAGTCAAAGACAAAAACCACGAGATCATCTCAACAGAAACAGAAAAAACAAAATCCAACACCCATTCTTAACAAAAACTGTCAACAAACCAGGAGTGGAAGAAACGTCCTCAATCTGATAATACTCACAGCTCACACAGCACGTGAAGTGGAAGAGGCCAGTCGCAAAGGAACATACATCGTATGATTCCACTGACAGAAGACGTCAGAATTGGCAAATCCAGGGACAGAAAGTAAATGAGTGGCTGCTGGGGGTTGAGGGGCTGGGAACGGGGAGAATGGGGGTGGCTGCTAATGGGGACAAAGTTTTTTTTTGGAGTGATGAAAATATTCTGAATGTACAAAAATCCACTGTACTGTGTAGTTTAAAAGGGAAAAATGTATGGTGTTATAAAAAAGAATGCATTGTTCAGAGTGAGAAGCCCTTGCTACAAATAACCATAGGACCATATTTACCCAAAAAACTTTACAAATAGTTTTAAATGGTTCTTAACATAAAGAACAATCTAGGTTTTGCAGCCTCTGCCTCAAAGGCTCACTCCACTTTGGATCTGCTGTCAGCGGAGCATGGCTTCCTTCCGAAACATTTACCCGCAGCTTCTCACAACCCTCGGCAAGACACAAGGACAGAATTCTCTGACAAGAACATTTCCTCTGCTTGCAAAGACAAGCAGGTCTCCTCTTTGATGAAATACAAGAGACGGAGCACCTGGCACCTGAGCGATTAAACCCAAGCACAGTCTGACACCAGGGTGGGCTCACAACCCTCACCTCCAGCTCCTCGCTGTCTTTGGGCTTCTCCTCAGAGGTCTGTTTAACAAAGTCTGGGATGAGGATTTCCAGCGTGGCCCGGGCTGTGGAAAGAGGAACACTGAGGGTGAGGGTGGGGTCCCCACGGCCGAGGGAGCCTGGGCCCCGGGGACAGAGCCCCAAGGGCCTGCACGTGAGGCACAGGCAAAGGGTGTGGTGGGGAGCAGCAGCTGGGCCAAAAGGACACTCTGGGGAGGCGCCTGCAGGCCCGAGCGCAGGGGTGGCGAGAAGCCGAGTGCAGGCACCCCATGAACAGGGGTGCAAAACGAAGAGCACGTGGGGAGGAGCATGGGGTGGGGGTGGGAGGCGAGGCGCCAGCGCCATGACGATGGCCCCACCCACCATGGGACCCTCACAGGCTTCTGCTCCGAGACCCCAGGAACACCCCACTTGTGAAGCAGGAAGAGCCTTTGGAGAGAATCTCTCTGAAATTGACAGGAGACCTCCTGGGGATTGGGCAGAGCTTGTGGACCCAGCACAGCTTCACACGGGGTCAGCCAGACAGTAAGGTGGGGTCCCATCACCCTCGGCATTCACCACCAGAAGAGAGCAAGGCCCAGGGGCACTCTGAGCCCCGGAGCACAGACACTCCACCAACCCGAGACTCGGTGAGACTGCGATAAACGCTCCGCACTCTGTAAGAGGCAGAGCTGCTCTGAAGACAACGCGGCGATGGGGGTGCCGGGGCCCGGGGTGCATCCATCACGTGCCTGCGATGTGGTCCACTCCCCAGAAGAGGCCAAATAACCCTGGTGCTGGGGCTAAGCGGCTTCTGGAAAAGCACGCCAACAACAAGGAGTGCCAGGAATATAGCCAGCAGCAGGACACGGGCAGGAGGAGCATCAGACTTCCACCAAAAACCACCAGCTTTCCCAAGGGCCTGCTTGGCTGTGTTCCAGGAGTGGCAGTCCCAAGTCTGGAGCTGGAAGGACTTCGAAAAATGGTCCTCATGGACATCAAAACCACCTGAGGAAGATGCCACCTGTTCTCCTTCTCAGCACACCCCTGCCTTGCTGGGTTTAAACAGACAGTGCCCTGGGCTCAGGCAGCACAGAGCAACCAGCATCTGTGAGCGCTGGGGACAGGGCGGGAGGCGCTGGCCCAGCCATCTGAATGGAAAAGGGCCTCTACTTTCATTTCTCACGTTTTACTTTTTCTATTTGAATCTTTTCCAGTGAGTACATAATTTAAAAAGATCCAAGTAGATGATTACATAAATAAAACAGACTTGCCCCATCCACAGCCTTCCCTAGCCATTGGTGGGCCAACACGGGTCTCTGACACCAAGCAGGCACATTACCAGCTTTATTCTTCGCGAGTTTTTTGCTGCTTGCCGTTCCAGATCCATAGGTCACACCATCGATGGTCACCGAGGCACCAAAAGGCTCACTTGGGTTCTCTTAAAATTAAAATTACCATTTTAAAACACACTTGCCAAGACATTAAAAGCATACGTGCACACACACAATGTGCTCGCGCTGACAGACAAGACGAGGTGGGGGTAGGGCTGCTGCTGGAAGGCAGAGGCCTGCGGGGGGGTCCCTGAGGCACTGGGGTGGGGCTGAGGGACAGTCAGCAGGCAGACAGCATGGCCAGGAAGTCGAGGGGGACAGGGACCAACGTCTGAGAAAGATGGACGGAGGAGTGCAAGGGGTGGCATGCAGACATTGTGAGCCAGAGAAGCAGGAAGACAATAGTGGACGCTGAGCTTCTGGTTTTCACTAAGGAGTGATGCGGGCGGCCAGAGGACAGCTTGTGGCCATTGCAGGGCTGCAGCCCCTCCACCCTCGGAAGCGCAGTGGGAAGGGGGTGCGGGGAGGTGACCATCTGATCCCCCTCGACCTCCCCTCTCGTTCCTACCCAGCAGAGGGGAATGACAGTCAGCTCCCACCTCCCCAGCAGTGACCCCAGTGACGTGCTTGATGCTTTAGGAGTGAGATGGGGAAGGTCACACTCACCACATTCAAAGAAGTTGTACACAGGGCGGACCTTGAGGACACGCTGCATGTACTCGTGCAGGATGCAGACCTCCGACTTCCCATTGGGGTTGATGACAAACTCTGTGACAAGAGGGGCCGTCTCAGCAACAGCGGGGACTGCAGTGACCACACCCCAGCCCGCGGGGAGAGGACCTCTGCGCCGCAGGGCAGACACAGGCCGATGCAGCACCCTTGGAGCACACATCCCAGGAACATCAGACCTGTGAGTTCCGTTCACCTTTCTTCGTGGGCGCGTCCTGCACAGACAGAGTGATGAGCTTCTGATTGGCCGGCAGGATGGGCCTCTCTGACTCAGCCTGTTTTCGCTTCATTTCTCGGTTGAACTGCCGACGCTCAGCCCATGTCCTGAACTTCTTCACGGTAACTTGCTCGAAGTCAAAGCGCTTCTCCAGGTAGTTCCGAAACTCCTCGAGGTCTATACGGGATTCACCAGAGACCCAAGTCACGGGTGGAGGTCACGCCCTCCACCCGGTGAGCAGGACAGGTCCCAACCACACGATACCCCCTTCCCCTTTCCTCTCCAAGGGCGAGGGAAGTAAAGAATCACGTCCCTTCATTCTGCCAGCTCAAATTACCCTGCCAGGTCCCCTAGGGACAAATTTCTGGCATGTCCTTTAGTTTATTTAGAACAAGAATAAGAATACAAAAATAAAAAAACAAAAACGAATCTAAAAAAAAAAAGCCAACCGCAACCAGCCTTTGGGACCTTTCTCCCCACATGGAAACAGGTGCTGGACGGCCAGCAGCAGCCGAGGCACCACGTGCCCACCATGGCCGCCCCCACGCCCTGCAGCAAGTAGGCAGCTCAGGGCCATGGCACTTGTTCCACCTCTCCCCCAGGACCCCAGGGCTTCCCATCAGTCTTGCTGGCGCCCTGCCTGCACCCCTCCTCCCACCAGGCAGATGCCTGAGATTCCACGTGAGCTACAGAACAACGTGCTTGCACACTTAGTGACAAACCAAAACCACATAGTTCTTTACACATGAGTGCAGAGAAGCGAGTCCGGAAACAAGAGCCATGAGGTCAGAGGTGGGAGGCAGTTGTTTTCAGAAAAACAGGAGCACACTCAGGTGTGTCCTGCATGTGCGGAAGGACGGTGTGAAGAGGCAGACCGCCAAGTAGGAGTCTTACAGGGAGGGCTCCCTTCCAGCTGTGTCCCGAGAACAGCCCATCCGCTGACAGAGCTAGCCGGGACGGGGAGCCAGACACCACTGTCCCCCTCCTCAGCAGCAGCCCCAGCCCCTCACATGCAGGAGTTCCCAGACAGGCCAGGCAGTAGCAGAGTGAGAGACCCCGAAAACGCATGGGGGCTAAGACAGCCTGCCACCATGGAAGAGATGCAGGAGGGACAGGGAGGAACGCCCCACACCTGAGAGCAACTGAGGGTCTGAGAAGGGGGTGGCATCCACACCACGTGGTGGAGACGCCCACTCTGCGCACTGGTACACCAGGACTCCGTGCGAGCATGTCCCATTTTCATGAAAAGCAAGACTTGAGGAAAGATCGCGAACGTGACCAGAGAAAAAGGCCATCTGCAGGGCAGCACCAGTGTGCGGGTCGGGAGCAAGAGGTCAGCAGGCAGAATCTCCTAAGCTCAGGGAGACGGCCTCTCCAGCCATGCGGGAGTGGACAGGCAAGCATGGACAGGTCCCTTCCTCCTCAGGGACCAAGTTCACTCTGGAAACTTACCAACTGATTCATCTTTGCACACTTCCACCTTGGCCTTCACTTGCCCCAGAGCCCCGGGGGCGGCCTCGGCCGCCAGTGGATCCTTCTCATCTGGGGGCCCCAAGTCAGCCCCCAAGGAGTCGGGCTCTTCCAGGGGGAGCTCCAGCTCTGCAGATCGGCTCAGGGGCTTGGCAGGAGACACCTCCCCACAGGCGAGCTCGCTGTTCTGCTCCCTTTCCTCATTGTCTTTCATTTTCTTGTAATGCAGACAGGGGATGCTACTCAGAGGAGGGTCATGTTTCTGTGGACAGTGAAATTGCAACACAGATTACAAGGATGGCCCCAAACATCTGAACGTCCGGTGCCTTTCACCTGCCTGTCTGGCTGCAATGCAACGTGGGCAGACATGCATGCTCCTCCTGCAACTTATGAGACTAAATTTATGACTGATGTGTCCCCTACCCGTATGCTTCCCGTTCCCAAGAAGTATGGCCTGGACCAGGTGACCACCCGAGACTCTCGGTGCAGGTACACGGGGACTCCGGAGTTATGGAACGTCATGATCCACCCGTCCGGCAGTGGTTCCGTAGGTGGACGGCCACGACCTGCACAGAAGACAAGAACACCCTGCGATCACTTAAAGACACTTGTAACTGAGTAAGAACTGTCAGGACGTTTCCAAAGTTACAACCCGTGTCAGAAACAACAGCAAGGTGGACCCAACGTTACAGAGAACCTCTAAAATGTAGGAAGGGGGAACACCCCGCTCTCCACTAGAGAAAGTCCCACCCAGCCCCACCTGCAAAACTCTGCTCTCCCTCTGCTGCTGTGCCTGTCCCTCTGGGTGTGACCCACAGGCTCCAAGTCCCTCCGTGCAGCAGGAAGCTGTCCACCCTGCTCACTGCTATACTCCCCAGCCTAGAACGGCACAGGCAGGCCTCGGAGCCTAGAGCAGGGTTCTGCAAGACACAGGGCCTCGCCACAGCTCTGCCTCCACGGCTGGCAAGCACCGTGGACACTGACTCCCCGCCCGCCTCCCACAGGTGTGGCCAGAGGCACCGCAGGGCCTGGGTAGGCTTCGCTAGTAACTGCACATCTGTGGATCACTGCTCCCTGTGACCAGGTGACAAGCCTGTGCTGTTCGAGCTGCTACTGACAGCCCTGGCTGCTGAAAAAAGCACATGGCAAAGACTTAAGTAAAACTTACTTTTCTTACAGGTATTGGGAACAAGTTAAAAATTCAGAAATGGAAGTGAAAAACCAAGTGAAATCTAAAAAGACACATACGAGATGAAAACAGCACCAGCTATTCTCACAGAAAAGGGAATGACACCCTTGTGCCAGGTCTGACACCCACACGTGGCCAACACCAGCAGACACCTGTGTCAGGACGGCCCTGGGAGGGAATGTGAGGTTGGACACGCACAGACCCCGTCAGGCACCCCCATGCCCACCGCGGGCTGGGCTGGGAGCTGTCTGCAACCAGCTATGGGCTAAGTAAGGAGAAGGAGGCACTCACACAGCTCAAGCTGAGCACATCATGGGACAAGGCATGTCTGCGATAGTGAGCTGTCACAGAGTTGGCCCAGCTGCCCGGAGAGCTCGCGTGCATCTCATAGTCTGTTACTGTTCCTGTTGCGGCCCACTTGGCAGACGCGCGGCCCAGCACTGCCAACATGTCCGCTCCGCAGCCAGGAGACTGTACGTCGGCCACCCTCGGTTTCCTCCCATCACGCTGGCCACCTGCGCTGGTGCTCAGCAGAAGATGTAACCTGTGTGCCTGAGTCCTGTGTCCCTCCAGCCCCTTTCCACCACCCACCTAACACCTCCACCTAGACACTGAGAGGTGCCTCCAGGCCAAGACAGAAACAGACACGGAGACCCCTCAGACCTCTCCGCATCAGCAGGGGGGCTGCACGGGCCAGCTCTGGGCACCCCCTGACCGCTCCCCACCGCGTCTCCGACCCCTCCACCTCTACTCAAAGTGCAGGAGTCACACGTGCACCGCGAGCCGTGCTTTCAGACCAGACTGTGGAACGAGTCCTGCTTGCTTCCAGTGGCTCCCCCGACACTTGGCACAGAATCTAGAACCCGGACTGCAACCATCACCAGCCACCACGCCGAGCAACTGCCTCTGGGCCCAGCATCCATAACCCTGGATGCCCCCTCCCCAGGGATCTGCCCAACCCCCTCAGAAGGCCTCTCCCCACCACGCCGCACAAGCCCAGCTGCTCTGGTTTCCACAGCACCTGCACCACCTGCAGCTGGGCCATCATGCATCTGGGTGTGTCCTCACATCTTGTCTGTTTCCTATCACCAGACAGGGCCCTCCTGGCCTCAGACACACACCTGCTGCCTGACACCGAGGGCTCTCATGCCCATACATGCAAAGTCCCGTGAACACTCGCTACTTCCTGGCCCGACTCACTTTTGAGCACTGTTTTAATCTTGGTCATCATTGGCTGCACACTTGTCTCTCCGTCTGATGGGTGGTCGCTGTCTCCTCCATATTTCTCCTCCATCCGCCTCTTTTTGGGAGCACAGAGGCCCTCTTCCAGCAGAGCATCAACATCGTTGTCAAAATCATCCTGCAAAATATGCTGTTCAGACACCACAGCCCCCCGGTGCCCTCCAGGCAAGTGTCACAGTGTCACTGACAACGACACAGAAAGGAGGCGCTCTCGGGGGCCTAGGTGTGCCTCTATGTTGCGTGATCATCTGAAAAACAAATGGAATGAAACCGCCAGCTGAAGCACACGCTCAGGCAGGTGTGCGTGCCACCAGGGAGCGTGGCCAGCAGCTCCTTCCAACTCAGTTGGGACAAGGGTACGAGGCAGACCTGTCAGCCAAACTTTTCATTAGCAAAGTTTGAAAACCTGGACTCCTGATGGCTTTCTCTTTTCACATTTACGTTTCCACCTCCTGTGGGTGTTCTTTCCTCTGCAACATCAGCTTTACAGAGATGCTGCGATTCCCAAACACCTCTCTTTGGGTTTTGCTAAGAGTGCTCCAAAGGAGGGGACACCGACATACCTCGTAGGAGAACTTCAAGGCCTCTTCGTCCACTCTGTCTCTCTGCACGATCGCTTTAGCCGTGAGCCCGCCTGCTCCTTCTTCATCTAGCTCCAAATTGTCAGTAAAATCTTCTAACTCATCCAGCACTGCGTACTCCACTCTCTTTTCCTGATCCAGCTCATTCTCCTCATCCTTCTTATCCGCACTCTCACCCCCTACGCCTACCCCGTTACCAACACTCCCGCCAAAGGGACAAGCATGCACGTCTCCACTGACAGGGCTAAGGGCCAGACCGCACTCTGCCCGCGCGTCGCGCTCCGCTCCCGTGTACAGCACCTTCCTGTCCTTACTCCTGCAGCTCTCGGTAAAGCTCACGCTAATCTTTACATCCTTAAGCAACTTAAGGTCAGGGGAGAACTTCCGGACCGCAGGTGCGTGCCGGGCGGTGCGCGGGCTGTGGCCACTACAGTTCGGGTCTACGAGGAGGCGGGCCTTAGAGAAGGATCCTTTGGAGAGAAGAGAAGCTCCGTAGAAGTTGAGCGGGTCCTCAGCAGGGGGTTCGGCCTGTCCATCACCACCAGAGCCAACGTCCATTACCTCTGCATCACTGGACGTTTGCAGGGGAGGTGGTGGAGACTGTCCACGGGGCAGCGCTCGGAGGGGGCAAGCTTGGTTCTCCATCACCGCTCCTCCTGCGGGCTCACGCGGGAGAGGAGAGGGGCTCTCACATGTCTCCATAGTAAAAGTGGTTAAGACTATTTTAAAAGACCAGAGTTTTAAAAAACCTTACATAAATCTATACAGCTAACATGCACAAGTCCGTCGAGACCCGGGTGCCGTCCTGCCCGCGCTGCACACGCTGGCGGCTTAGTCAAGCTGGCCACATTGCTCTTTTCATTAATGTAGACAGCTTTTAGAACCACTGCCTCAATTATTGGAAATCACAATGCACTCAGCTTAAATGACTGACGACTAAGCGAGTCTGTCCTCAAGCCGGAGGGGCACCCGTCTTCCTCCACCTGCAAAGAGACGTAAAGGCGTCGTCACAACGCAACAGAGCCCTCCGCGTCCTGGTACCAAGAGCCCAGTGCTATTGACAGAGCAGTGAAAATTTAAAAAGAATGCTGCCCAAAAAGAGAACCTTCTATGCTTCAAAACAATCGAACTTTACTTTTTTCTTCAGAACCTAAATTGTACCTTAAGTCCCAAATTAAATACTTTATTAATTGTCCACTGTAATTCCAACTTGAGAAACACAAAAACCATATTATGTTTAGGCTCAAAAAGGATTAAAAAAAAAAATCCTCCACTAAACTTCACCGCAGCACCCCCTAACTCAGTTTTTACAAGGCAAGCCAGCATGCAATGCAAGGCTGCCCTTTCCAGAACACACAGAAGGTGTGCGGCTTCCCTCCAGCACCAGAGCGACATGGATCCACTCACCTGCGAGGGCCGGGTCAGTCAGAGGGCAAGCGGGAGACCCTCGGCTCAACTCTGCGGCACTAGGGCCAGGGGTTCTGTCACCCGGGACCCTGGGGCACGTGGATGGGGACAGTGATGCAGCGGGCTGGGGGAGCCAGAGGTGGCGTGGTTCTGTTCCCGGGAGAGGTAGGGGTGGTGACCGCAGGGAAGGGAGCCCAGCCAGAGTGGGTCGGGGGAGCCGCAGGAGACAGCTGGAGCCAAGGCACGGGGAGTCCTGGGAGCCGCCCGGAGCCTGGCTCCATCCTGGGGGGCAACAAGAAGCCACTGGGAGTGAAGGGACCCTCAGGCCACAATTCAGTCCCTACTTGAGAAGGAAGGCCAACAGCTGCGCCAGGCATGGTGCCCGTGCCCTCGAGAACAGCAGAGACACAGAGTTGACCGCACTGCTGAGTGGGCAGAGGTGGAGAGCTGGGACAAGGGGGCCCTGACGACCAACGAGGCCTCTCCCCGGAGGGACAGTCAAGCAGCGCCTGCAGAGGAGGGCGCCCCGAGCCTCTGGGCAGACCTGGCCAACGGGGCTGAGGCCGCCAGGACACATCAGCCAGGCGGTCACCCAAACCGCAGGAGAGGCCGCCCAGAGAGGGAATGCAGACCGAGAAGAGGGCTGAGGACGCAACTCTGGAGAAGCACAACGGAAGGGAAGACACAAGGCTGAGAAGGCAGGGCAGGGGGCCATCCAAACACAGGGGCCTGCAGGAGGGAGGGCACCCACCAGAGCAGAAGCACGTGCAGAAACGCACGCATGTGCTCACATGTACACCCCCACACCGTGCAGACACACGCACAAACATGCCATATGCACGCGGATGCAGACACATGTGCGTGCCCATGCCCACTCGGGGCAGCTTGCTGGTTGCAGACAGAACAGTAAACAGCAGACACCACATGTTTAAGAAGTTTACAGTGAAGGGACAGAGCGTGGTGGTTGAACTTTGAAGGGGACATAACATAAAAACCAGAGACTTGTTTAGATTTGATTAATTCATCCAACAACTACCCAAAGACTACCTACTCTGATGGGGGCACTACCATGAACTACAGGGCAACAACCACTGACTGTCAATCTATTTCCTAGATTCTAAGATGTCTTCACATTTCTGATTTCAGTGGGAATTTAACATAATACCTCCCACACAGGTATGTCTGTCAAAGGTGCTAAGGACCAAGGAAACATAGCACACAAATGATGACAGACTCAGAACCGCAGTGATCGCTGAGGAGGCTGTAGCCAGACACACACGAGGAACACTGAGTGGAGTAGGGCCAGTCTCCTGGCACCAAGAAAGATCGTTTCAGAGAAGGACAGAAGGTCAGCATACCCAGTGCTACAGAACACAGATGTGACCAGGACCAAACCCCTTGGCACCAGGCAGGTCTGCAGAGACCCTAGCAAGAGCCAACTCGTGATTCTGGGGCTAAAAAGGCTAACATGAAGAGATGTGAGGAGACGGGGGGCACTGAAGACACACTCGGCACAGGACGGGGACACCTGCTACCACGTTCAAAGGCTAAGAGCAGCGTGAAGCCAGGATGAGAATGATAAAAACTGAAGAATGGAAGAGCTGCACAGAGTGGAGTCTCCAAGAAGCCATGGAAAGTGTGGTCCTTGGAGCTCAGGGAAGCTGCCCAGCCCCAGGGGCAGCAGCTCATGCTGAGGGCTCCACAGCAGGCCATCCTAAGCAAGCTCCTTACCATCCCTGTTGCCTGTCGGTACCTATCAATACCTTCCAGGTGGCACACACATACCATTTTAGATGCTGAGGGCATGAGACAGACAAAACCCCTGGCCACAGAGCTCACGTTTTAGCAGAGAGACTGACAAGTAACAACTAAGAAAAACTGAGAACCGTTCAAGAAAAAACAAAGTAAGGAGTTGGGGAAGGGGAGGCAGCTTCAAAACGGGTGGGCAGCAAAGGCCTCACAGCCAACGTCCACCTGAAGGTAGAGGAGTGGGCCGGGTGGGTAGCTGGGGTGGGAGGAGGGGACATTTCAGGCAACAGCGAGAAGAGCAAAGGCCTCCGGGTAGGAGCGTGGGGTGGCAGGTGACAGCAGTATGCCCAGTGGGGAGAGAGGAGGCCAGATCAATGAGGGCGAGGGAAAGCAGGACTCTGGCTCTTATCTTGAGAGATGGGCCACTGGACAGGAGGGTTCAAGCGGTGAGGTCACATGATCCAAGGTCAGCAGTGGCAACCAACCCTCAGGCAAGCCCTGTTCTAAGCACTTTAGGTACTGTCACTCACCAGCTCTCACACAGCACTGTGAGAAAAAGTTAAGGATAGAGAAATGAAGCAACTTGCTCGAGGTCACACAGCTAGAAAATGGTGGAGCTGCTTTACCACCCAGGTAAGCTGGCTCCAGTCTGTACTGCCTCGGGATTACAGTCTTGCAGTTTAAAAGAAACACTGTAGGTCCAGAAAAACCCCAGGTGGGTGGACAGTAGGAGCAAGGGTGAGAGCAAAGAAAAGAATAAAGAGGCTCACCGGGAGCTTGGACCAGCATGTCACGCTGGAGGTGGTGAGAAACTGTCCTGAGGGTTGCATGGAGGCCTAGGAGTGACTCCATACTCAAGGACAGAGATGTCACATGCAGAGGTGGTGAAGGCAGCATGGGGAGTGTTTGGGGTGAGTGAAGATCACAGTTTAGGTTTACACATGGCTACTTGGCATCAAAGTAACGCGGGGGGATGTGGAAGAGGCAGCCACAGGCATAAGGCTGCAGCTCAGAAGGGAGGCGAGGGCTGGAGATGGAGATGCAGATGTCAAGGAGAGACGGCATTAAAGCCAGGAGACTGGACGAGATCACCAAGGAGTAGAGGGCAGCTCCAACCTGAAGCCGAGACTGGGCAAACCAGTCAGACTCACTTTCGTACCCCCAAGGTCACGGTTAGATTATAAAACCCCTGGGAAGTGCCCTGCACAGTGGCTGGCCACAAAAGGCTCAAAGGGTGGCTCTCCTGCCATCGGCCTCACTACTGCTTCAGCTGACTGCACACACGGATGCAAACCTTGCTTGCCAAGTGGACCATAAGCCAGCAGCAGACTTGCAGCAGGCTCCCCTGGATCCCGACACAGGGTAAAACCGAGACGCTTGGACAGTGCCCTTCACTGGAGTCCGCTTGCTGGGCTGGCATGGAGGTGCCGTCTGTGATGGTCCAGCGCTGTGGCTGCTGCCTTTCGCTCAAGCCTCTCGGCGCTGCAGCCTCCCGCCCAACCCAGCAGCAGTATGACCTCATCCCGTCCTTTTGTCATCCTCCATCGGCCTCACATCCCGCACTTACAGGCGGCACTGCCGACTGGCCATTCACTCCCTCTGGTGGGTGACCGCCTGTAGCAGGGTTTGGCCCACTCTACCGCCGCCAGGAAACAGGATCCCCGCCTAGCGGTTGGCCTGGCACAGTCCCCAGCCCCAGAATGGACTGTCGTGCACCGGGTAACAAGGTACATGCAAGCATGCAAACGACAAATCAAGTTCCTACCCTGAGCAACCCAAGTCCATCGGACGACACCTGACAGGTACCTCTGTCAACAGGTTGCCACCTTCCACTTATTTCTATCATGGTCATTGTTACGACAAAACCACATCCTGATCACCTACGTGACACTCAGTCCGTGAGCATTTGGTGAAGACGGGCGACTTCTCAGATTTCCCAAACTGTGTTACACCCGGCAGGGTCCTGGGCGAGCACCGCCCCTGTTGGTACCTTTCCCGCCTGAAAGCCATCTACGGCTTCGGGCACGCGGGACGAGGGGCCTCCTCACACCCCGGTGTCTGCCCGGGCGGAAAGCGACCGGCGCGGCGCCCCCCGGCCCGGGGCCCGCCACCGCCCCCGGCCCAGCCCAGACCCCGGCCCCCGCGGGCCCCCCGCCCGCGCTCCGAGGCCCGTGGCCATGATGCTTCACAAAGGCCGGGACTCGAGAGGCCAGGCCCGCCCGCGCCCCCCCGCCCGCTCGACCCCGGCCCGCGGCCTCGGCCCGGGAGGGAGGGAGGGGAAGGGCGCGCCTCACGCAGGCCGCAGCGCCGCCCGCCCGCCCGCCCGCTCGGCCGCGGGGCGCCCCTCGCGCCCCGCACCTACCTCCGGCGCCCGCGGCCGGCGCGAGCTGCCCGCAGCCCAACTGCAGCGGAGATCCCTACTGCCCGGCCGCCGCCGCCGCCGCCGCCGCCCTCCAGAAGGGCCGCGCGGGCGCTCTCCAGTCGGCGGGACCCGCCTGCCGCGCGGGGCGAGCGGAGGGCGGACCTTGGCGCGCGCGGCCAATCCTGCGCGCGGCCGCCCCGCATTGGGGGAACCGCAGAGCGGGCTGCAGAGGCAGCCAATCGGCGGCGCGCGGCGCTCCCGGCCACGGCGCGCGGCCCAATGGCGCGACCACGTGGGCGGGACCAGGCGCTGAGGCCGCGGCCGCGCTAATGGTCGCCGCCGGGGCGGGGCTCGCGGCGCGGAGGACGGCGGCCGCGAGGGGCGCCGGGAACGGGGAGCGCGGGTGACGCCGGGAACGGGGAAGCGCGGAGGACGCCGGGAACCGGGGGTAGAGGGTGCCTCTCCTGTGTGCACGGTGAGGACGAGACCGTACACATAGAGACATCACCCGTTTTCCATTTAAAAGCATTAAACGTAACCACTAGGGGAAAAAAGACAAGTGTGCGCAAGTGTCTGGCACTTTTCCATTTGCTGATCCTGCGCGAGGAACCTTGACAAAGGTGCTGAGCCGTGGAGCAGGGACCGCTCTTGCTGAGGCGGGAATTCCCAGGAACGCCGGGAACACGCTCTCCCGTCTGCAGCCGGCACGGTGGCTGCTGCAGACAAAAGCCAGGGGTGCTAGACAGAGGGCAAAGAATGAGAAACAGACGGGGGTTGTCAGTTTGGCAGAGTTGCAGAGTTCCCACCCGCCCTAGACTCTCACTAACGGCAAAGTGAATACAGTGATTTTTCAAGAAATAACCTGGGAGACCCCTTCACCAGGTGACCTAAGGTGCACACGACCAACATCAGAGGATGCACTTGAAAGTCGTGTGTTGCTTTGTGTGTTAATGATGCCTCGATTAAAAATGAAAAAAGCACCAGTAAAGGGACGTATGGACGGCTTCCTGAGAGGGACATATATCCACATTAAAGCCCCAAAGGCAAAACCTGAATGTAATCGTGAAGAAAGATCCAGCAAACCCATAGGAGGGCCCTTCTACCCAAAAAACGGGCCAGTGCTTTTCAGAAAGTGTCAGGATTGTTCAAGTCAAAGACAGACTGAGGAGCTGTCTTGGACTGAAGGAGAGACAACTAAGTGGGATGAGGGGTCTGAACTCAGACAAGGGTTATTAGCAGGACAGTTGGTAAAATTCAGAAAAGGTCAATGCTAATTTCATGGTTGTAATACAGTTTACTGTGGTTAGGTAAAGTTACAGTCGGGAGGAATTGTGCAAAGGATATTGGATTCTTTGTTCTATTTTTTTCAAGTTTGTGGCAAGTTGAAATCATTTCCTACAAAAAAGTGGGGCAGGGGTGCTGCAGGTGACTAAGCTGGAGGCCTACCCAGGCCCTTCCCTCCCTGCCTGCCCCTCTGCTTGTCAGACTGCGCCAGGGGACAGCACCAGGAACCCCAGTGGACACCGAGCCCTGTAAGGGTCTGGCTCCTGGACTCAGCCAGCTGCTGACTTTGTCCAGTGCAGTCAGAGCCCATGGGAACCCTCAGCACACCACCCTCCAACTAGCCACCTCGCCACGCTTTGTTGCTTGGTGAGGTGGGGACCCTGCCTACCCCAGTCAGACCTGAAACAGCCCTGCACACTACAGCCAACTTCCACTCGGCCTGGCACCAACTGGGTGATGGACAAGGACCTTACCACGGGACCTCCCCACCATCCCCACCTGGCTCCAGCCTTGGAGTCACAAAGATCAACACCTGGAAGTTGGAACTCCAGCCCAAGCTGGGGGAGGAAACCTTTCCCTCTGGAGAGCGTGGATGATGCCATCTGCTGGCAGATGAGACCAAAAGATGGGATGATGGGGGGATGGGGGGGCGGTCTCTGTGGGCAGAAGGCCAGGAGCCCAGGCCCGCATGGGATTAGACCCAAGGTCTCCTGTGTCCCTAGGCTGGCCATGTGTGCTCGTAGACATGCCTCTGCCTCGCTCAGCTCCACGCCTCCAGCCTCTGTGCCTGCACACCTCCGCTTGGCTATCCTGGAGCCGGAGAACAGAAGCAGCTCATCTGGGAAGGGGCAGAGTCTCTGCCCAGGAGAAGAGACCCATGTTGGGGACTCAGGGATCAGATGCATCTGGTGACAAGTACAGAGGCCTTTCTGGGCATGTCAAAAGCAATTCTAGGAGACAGCTTCCCAGGGTCCCAAACCCACCTACAGCACCGACCTCACTTCCAGACACTGGCCTGAGCCAATGGGGCCTGGGAAGGGCCAGCACTGTCATCCTCAGCTCTAACATCTACCTGGCCTGGGCATCAGGATACAGGGGTAGACAAGAGAGGAAAGGTCCCGACTTCCTGGAGCTCTTGTTCCGACAGGAAGACACAGAAGAAACAGTCAATCAAAATGCACAGCACATCAGACAGCGCTTTCTGTTACAGAGCAATGCAGAGCAGGGACCAAGGGAGGGAAGACTGCCTTAGACAGGTCGACTGCCCGGGACTTCAGCAAAGACCTGCGGGACACGAGGGGGAGTGCGGTTTGGGTGTCTGGGGAAGGAGCCCTTCAGGCAGAGGGGACAGCGAGAGCAAAGGCCCTGGAGCAGGAGCAGTGGCAAGAGCCAGGGCAAGTGAGGCGAAGGCAGGGGTGCCAGGCAGCAGGGTGAGCCGGGTGTGGCAGGACCCTGAGGACCACCTCGCCCTCATCCTCTTCCCTCCTGGCCTCGTGGCTCTGCCTCCCCACCCACCTGGGGACTGAGGGGCTGTTACTGTGTCTCCCCAAGCCTCAGTTTCCTTGTGTGTAAAGCAAGGTCACAATTTTTTAATCTTGCTTGGGCTGCCATAACAAAGTACGACAAGTGAGGGGCTTAAACAACAGAAATTTATTCTCACAGTTCTGGAGGCTGGACGTCTGAGAGCAGGGTGTCACAGGGCCCTGCTCCCTCTGAGGGCTCCAGGGGAGGACGTGTCCCGGCCTCTCTCCCAGCTTCTGGGGTTCCTTGGCGTGAGGCAGCCCAGCTCCAGTCTTCACAGACGTCTGCCTGGGTGCCTGTCTGTCCCTGTGTCCACGTTTCCCCCTTTTTATAAGGACACCACTCATATTGGATTAGGGCCACCCTAACGATCCCATTTGATTGATTACCTGTGGAAAGACCCTAACAAGATCACATTCTGAGGTATTGGTTGCTGGGGTCCAACATATCTTTTGGAGGGCACACAACTCAGCCCATAACAATAGAAACAAGTCTTGGGCTGCCCCTTCCTCAGGGGCTCCAAGCTGCCAGGGAGCCCAGGGCAGGCAGGGGCAGAGGGGACCATGACAAGTGTGGGGAAGCTTTTCCTGTGCAGGCCCGTCCCTGGGGCAGCGGCAAACATCTGAAAGGCTCTTCAGATGGCTTTGTACCCAGTCCAGCGGCGCCCCACGAGGGCAGACCTGCCTGGCCAGGGCAGGCGCTGGTGTGGGGACCTGGTCCATTCCATGGTGCGGGGTGGCCTGCTAAAGCAGACAGAGGGTGTTGGCAGTGCCGGAGCTGGGAGCCTGGCTAGCTATGGCTCAGCTGGACACGTGGGTGGGGGGCACAGGCTGCATCATACTGGGAGCCCCTTCATGCCTGGCTGTGGGGTGGTGAGCAGGAAGGGAGAAGGGATGGAGAGGCAGGTTGGGCCCAATCAAGGTCTACAGCCCACCCGAGCAGTCACTGCACTGAGAAGGCCAAGTTGGGTCGACCGCCGAGGCGGAGGGAAGCCTGAGTGTCAGCATTGGACACAGGACCCCCGAATGCCCGGCCCCAGCTGGGGACAGGAGCTCCAGGTGCTTGCCCAAAACAAGGGCCCTGGGGTAGGACAGACTCTACCTGCTCTGTTACCCAAAGCCCAGCCCTTCCTGCCATCCCCTGGCCTCCACGGTCCAGCCCGTGTGCACGGCTCCCCGGGGCTCCCACCTGCACCCGGATGAACTCCTGGCTTCCGTCACAGTGCTCAGGAGGCCATGAGCAAAAGGGAAATGTGGAAGAGCCCTGCACCGGGGTCTGGGCCCCAGGAGCTCCTGGGGGCTCCCGGACAGCAGCTCTGGTCATCCTGTCACAGAGTCAAGGGCCTGGAATGCACTGGCTCACCACGGCCTCAGAGTTTTATTATCAGCGTCTCACATTTAAGTACAGAGTCTTATTATGAAGTTTAACTCCCTAGGAGAAGGGAAATGGCAGGGGCAACTGTGTCCCCTCCCTGAGATGGGCCTGCCCGGAACCCATGATCCCCCTGCACAGGTGGAGGCCTGAGAGCCTGCTGAGGCGGCCCATTGCATATGGATGCTCCCTCACAGGATAGCTCCAGGCACAGGACCCCTCGGCACCCACAGAACCACCGGACCCACCCAGCGGCCTGTGCCTCTGCTATGGAGGAGGTTTTCCTCATTCAAATGTGGCCTGTGTCCTCTCCAGGAGCAGGGCTGGTGGTCAGGAACTGGCTACGCCCAGGAGAGGAGGGGCCGCTTTGAAACAGACATCCACTCTTGTTGTCGGGATCACAGCAAGACTCACTGGCCAGAAGCACGTGTGGGTGTTGAGAGGCACAGCTCTGCGTGTCTGGCTCGCATGGGGGGTGCATGCCTGGAGCGTGTGTGTGTCTGAGCACGTGTGTACACGTCTACTGCCTGTAACGTGTGTGCGCATGCATGATGGGTGTCACGTGTGCCTTGTGTGAGCTTCTGTGCATGGGCCGGGGGAGGCACAGCACACCTGGGCCTGCCGTACACCTGGCCATGGGCCTCTGTCATAAGGCTGGACCCCGAGCTTGACATGGGGATGCAAACAGTTCACACACATCAGAGGGCTCTGGCCCTGGGGGACGCTGGCTGAGTCACAGGCAGTACCTGTGACAGGGCCTCCCGGGAGCCCCGGCCACACCCGGGTGGGGGTTAGCTCTGCAGCCTGAACTCGTGGGTGCTGGTCTCCCAGCAAGAGGGGTCCGTGCCCAGCATGCTTCGCTCTGTGAAGGTCACGTGCCCATCTGCATCCACAAGGATGACCGTGTTGGTTCTGAAAGAGAGCATGAGGCCTGCGTTCAGCCCGCTGCCCCTGGACCCCTGCACGCCAGTCAGAGCCCCAAATGGATCAGACCAGAGGTGCGAGGGGCCTTGCTGGGCACTGGCCTGGCTCGAGATGGGTCACAAAGAGCAGCAGCCTCTGTCTCGGCGAGCAGAGGGTCCCCTGTGAGGCATCAGGGTCTTGAGCCGCAGGTCCTGCAGGCCCCTGCCCACAAGTCCTATCACCTCCCCTCTGAAACACCCCCAGGCCGCCCTGCCCACCCTCTGCAGCATGAGCCCTGATCGCCCACCACTCTCAGCAGGGTAGGCCCTGGGCTGACCAGGCACCTCCCTGCTCAGAACCCCCAGGGCTCCCAGCACCACCACCGGGGACTGCCCAGACACCTGCAATGGCTTCTAGACAGGGTGGAGGTGGGGAGGAGCTGGGCAAGATGGGCTCCTCCAGGGACAGGAGGGCGCACCAGCGGCCCATCCGTCGTACCTGGTGCCGTAGTCCGGGCAGCGCACACACACAGCTGCGTACTTGCTAAGTATGGGCTGCACGTACTCCCTGCCCTGGTCCTCAATGGCTGGGTCTGGCAGCTGCCTGAAGGACAGAGGAGGGGTCACCACTGGCCGCCCCAAACCTATCCCCGCCAACGCTCAGCCACAGCCCTGCAGCGCCTGAGGAGCCCACCAGCCTCAGAGAGGGGCTGGGGGAACCACAAGGGTTGTTCCGGGCACTTTCCAGGTCAAGGCCTCAAACCTCCATCTAGCCTTTAACTCAGGGCTCCATTGTGGGGGCCAGTCCCTGTGCTGGGGCCACCAGGAGCTTCCCAAGGCCCAGGGACACGAGCTCATGGGCTCTGTCCGGTCAGAGCCGTGCAGGCCCTGTGGAAGGACAGTAGCCACCTCTCAGAGCTGGCGGGCGGGGGGGGGGGGGGGGGGGGGG